TATGAGTGTTTATTTTTTAGCATCTCATTCATTACCCACTTTGTAGCATGTACTGTAGTTGTCTGTACCTGGCCTGGAAGATATGACAGAAACAATTATTTCTACTTTACTTTTTGAATCTTCTACATGCAGGAAGGCATGTGGGAAACTTATGGTTCCCTCCGTATCTAATTATGATTTCTTAAAATGTGAGGTTGAAAATTAAGACAAATATCTAATATTATTTTTGCTCTTTCTCCTTTTTAAAGAAATTTTATTTATCATTTTTATTTTTTATGTGTATGAGTGTATTGCCTGCATGTGTGTAAGTGCACCCATGTTGTTCGTTGCCCACAGAGATCAGAAGAGGGCATTGGATTCCCCTAGAACTGGAGTTACAGACAGTTGCTAGTCACCATGTGGGTGCTGGGAATCGAACCTGTGTCCTCTGCAAGAGCAGTCAGTGAGTGCTCTTAACTGCTGACTAATCTCTTTAATCCCACTCTTTCTCATCTTTAAATTACTATTAATACCAGCAATTACTTCATGGTGTTGTTATAAATATTAAATAAATTATAAATTACTGGATAGACATTTTATAATTTTATTTTCCAGAAGAGAAATAGTGAATAAAAAATTAATATAAGCATGCAAGAAAAGTATTTTCAGCTGCTTTATTTAAAGAGACATATACTACCAGTTTGGCCAGCCCAAGTCATTTACTCTGTCTCTGATAATGTCATGTTAAAGGTGCCTGACAGTATTTAATAGAATCCCCAAAGGAACTAGCAGAATACTTTTTTCACTTTTCAAATGTTGACTAATGGTTTAGTCATTTTTGTAATTAGGACCTGTTAAGTACTCCAAGGAATTTTCTTTCCAAGGAAAGTGTAAAATATAGCTACACAATGAAATGGAATTCAGAAAGTTCCTCATGAGTTTTCTCTTTTGTTCAGAGAAAGAAACAATATAATTAACTATTCCATGCCTTGAACTGGCATTCCTTTCCTTAGTTTTCTATTTGCTGTCATAAATACCTTCTCATTAATAGTCAAAAGACTCTTTCAATAATAGAAGCAAAGTCCTACAGTGAAAATTAGTTTAATATGTATATGACATATATAATAAATCCTACTGTTTTTCTTCATTTCCTTTAGAATATCATCAGGTCTACTTCTAACTTAAAGTCTTTAAAATTAAATATTTCCTTTGCATATTAAATCACTATATTATTTTTGTCACTGCCTAACAAAAGGCAACTCAAAAGACACAGTTTATTTTGGCTTACAGTTTGAGGGAACCATCCATCATGGCAGGAAGGCATGGGCTGGCAGTTTACAGTGATTGGACACCTTGCCTCTGTGGTGTAAAAGCAGCAAGCAGACAGGACGTCTTCCAGCACTGAAAAAAAAAAAAAAATAGGCAAGCCCCCCCCCCCCCCAACCCATCACCTCTATTAACGCTCTCCCTCCTAAAGGTTCCACAACCTTCTATACCAGTGAGGGCCAAGTGTTCAAACATGAGTTTATGGGAGACATTTCACATTCAAATTACAGCAGCCTCTGAAGAATATGATGACTTCAAAACTAATTATTTTTAATTGAGTTATTATCTTAAAGGCATTTCATCTAATGGATTCCCCAGGTTTTCTTTTGCCCCTTATCTGCCTTATGAACTGAGTGTCCATAAAGAACTATTAATAATGGCCACACTTTCCATACTTGATATCTGTTGGTTGATCTTGCTTCAAAGAAACTTACTTCTTTGTAATATCAAGTTACTCTAATTTCCTACCTCCATGCCTTTTATTTTCCTCTGGAGAAAACCCTTCCAGGGTATGACCTAAAGAATTCTGGTTCAGATTTCCATGTGAATCTGAACCAAAGTGAATCTGTAATTTGGTAGAGAGAGCCTTCATTAAATACCCTAGTGAGGGAAGTTTTATTGTTTCATACCAGACTAAAGTACTTTTCTTGACTTATTGAAATTGAACTTTAACATTTATGAGAATATAAATTGCAACAGCACATTGTAACATGCCACAGGTCCACTAGAGCCTTAGGTCAAGGTTTTTTAGGGGTTTTTTTCTTTCTTTCTTTTTTTTTTTAAAAAAAAAAAACTTTCTTTATAACCTCTATTAAAAATAGCAATGTTTCTGATTATTTTCTTTCAAAAATTAGAAAAATATGTTCTATTCTCCAGAGAGATGTTATCTTTAGTTATTCCTATAATTTATATGGCTGCATGGGGTATGTCTTTATACTTTTTATTTGTCTTGACCAAAGTGAAAATTCGATTTTATAAGTAAGGCTAGTTAGCCATCTCTTTTGAAATGGATGTTTTTCCAGTTGAAAGACTTTATTCTTTAATTCTGTTTATTCCTTCTCCATCTTCTTTTCTTGAAAACTTGTATTATAGCTATGACATTACTCCTCCCCTTTTGTGTGTGATTGTGTGTGTGGTGTGCCTATGTGTGTGTATGCATGTTCACGTGTGTGGTGGGCACATGTGTGTATACAGGTGCTCATTCGTACACATGTTTAGAGGTAAAAGTTAGGTGTCTTTCTCAGTTGCTCTCTATATAGAAGCAGAGTGTCTCTCTTGAATGCAAAACTCACCAATTTCATTAGTTTAGTTTGTCATCTTGTTCCAGGGATCCTCTGTCTCCACCTCCTGCTCACTGGTATTACAAGCAGGCTACCATGCCTATCTGGCATTGATGTGAGTTCTGAGGATCCAAACTCATGTCTACATGCTTGTTCAGCAATCACCTTACCTTCAAACTATCTCCCCAAGAACGATACTCCCTTTTAAAGGCAGGCCCCACAGCCATTTAGCACTATTGTCGTAGCATAGCTATGCTGCGTATGTCATCTGAAATTGAACTTGGCATTTTTCCATAGCGTTTCTTTCATAGCCCTCATGTGTATTCAGTAGATGGCAGCTCCCTTGTTATCTGCCATCTATGAAGGTCTTCTGAAGCAGCGTGCTCAGAAAAACACTGATGGGATGGCGAGCCTGACCTTTGCTGTCTTCTGCTGCGTGTTGTCTTTGTGTGGTGATTGGCAGCAAACAAATTTATCTGTGAAATTCAGTTTGCATTCTGTTTGTATAAGACAGCTGTGTCACTCCTGGGGATCAGCTATAAGCAAGAAAACTGACTGTAGTTATTGAAACTAAAGACTTCACTATCAGTCTGGGGATGTGGTAGAGTATCTTCCTAATATGGTTAAGGCCCTGGTTCAATGCCCAGTACCAAAAACAAAAAAGAAAAGCTTTGGGGAAGGTTTGAATCAGCAGGAAGCTATTTAAACCTGGTATCCAGGAACTATGAGAAACTATACTATGGCAATTGCTTGCATGAAGAAACTGGCCAGGACATGGCCCATTGCTTTCAACATTGTGAGTGAATTCTAGCCATCCCTTCATCTTTCTGTTACTCAGTAAGTAAAATTTCAAGTGAGCATCCAGTTGCCTGAAACTGTCATGAGTCCACACTAGCGGCCAGACAGCAAGGAGACAAATATTCATTTATATATAATATATATGTGAATAATGATTATTAACTAAATACAATGCACAAAACCCCCAAATCAGAAATAAAATGACTTTTTGCACAGAACATACTGTGTGTACATAATTATATACTTTATAGTATTATATATATATAATATATATAGTATATACAGAGGTGTCTGCCCATGTCCATACATGCAGAAGCCAGAGAAAGATATCAGGTGACTGACTCTCTCACTCACCACCTTGTTTTTTGAATCAGGGTCTCTCACGGAACCAGAAGCTCACCTGTTAGCTAGGTTGAGTGGCCAGAAAGCACTCAGGATTCTCTTGTGTCCACATCCCAGTACTGGGATTATAGGCATGCACCACCAGACCATGCTTTCTATGTGGGTACTAGAGATCCGAATACAGTAAGCACTTTATCTGCTGAGCTATTTCCACAGCCCAGTTTTTTATTTAAAAATTTTGATTTAAAAACGAAATATTTTATTTTTGTTTTATGTGTGTGAGTGTATTACCTGCATGTAAGTGCATCCATGTAGTGCAATGCCTGTGGAGGTCAGAAAAGGGCACTGGATCTCCTGGAACTGGAGTTACAGATGGTTGTCAGCTGCCATGTGGGTGCTGGGAATCTAACCTGGGTTCTCTGAAAGAGCAGCCAGTGCTGTTAACTGCTGAGCCATGTCTCTAGCCCCTAAAATTTTAAATTTTTTATTTAGCATAAAAATAATGGGTTTCACGATGATGTTTTCATGTACATGTATCTTTGTACTTTTCTCATGTTCAATTCCCCACTGCCATCCTCACCTTCCCACACAGCCCCCTTTCTTTTTTCATTTCACATAACACACACACACACACACACACACACACACACACACACACACATTTAAAAAGCATAGTGATATTCTGGCAAATAATTTTTTAAGAATTTTTTTCTGAGATACCATTTTAAAACTGCAAAGTCTCTACATATTTGAGTTAGCTCAAAAAGGAAAATAACTGTTCCCATGGCTAATATGTAAATTTAAATAGCAATACTTACTGGGATTATGCTATGATATTATTTGTTATGCTTTAAACATAGTAACAAAGTTCATTTCAAGAACTCGGGGTTCTTTTCCTTTTAATTTTATTTACTATTTATTTTTATTTTATGTGTATGAATATTTTGCCTGCATGTATGTAAATACATCATGTCCTTGCAATGCCTGCAGAAGCTAGAAGAGGACATTGAATCCCCTGGAACTGAAGTTAAGGACAGTCGTTAGCTTCTATGTGGGTGCTGGAACAGAATACAGGTCCTCTGCAAGAGCAGCCAGTGCTCTTAACTACTGAGGCATCTCTCCAGCTCCCAAGAACTCAGTTTTCTATACGGAAACATACTGTTTAGTCAGTGTGGTTGAAATTTTTTTAAGTTAATGCCATTCTGTTGCACAATGCTTCTGTTTGCCTCTTTGAAATTGTACAAGGCATAATTTTATCCTATCTTTTTTTACCAGACAAGCTAGCCTCAATGAAGCAGCTGAGAAGTATTATGACCTGGCAGCAAGACTGAGACCTAAGGTAAGCACTCACTTTGACAAGCTTACTCAGGGGATGGGTCCCACCTTGTGTTATTTGAACACAGTTTTATCATTTCTAAATACTTTTTATTTGGGTGAATTTTTGAATTCCTTGAAAGTGGTTGTGTGTGTGTGTGTGTGTGTGTGTGTGTGTGTGTCTGTCTGTCTGTCTGTCTGTCTGTCTGTTAAATGCTTCCTTGTATTTCACCCACATTTAAACCTTCAGCTGTGCACTTCTTTAGTATTCTAAAATCCCCATTTCTAATAACTTTGCTTTCCAAATTTATCAATAATCTTTTCAAGTATCCCCTGGGGAGTTGCACTTCCAGAAAGTAAGATTGATACAAATTAGATCATCACTATTGGAATAAGTAACCATTTATGAGAAAAAAAAAGAACTGCTTTTGTGGCAGCCTGCTAAGCATTTTTACACTGTATGCCACCAAATTCTAGTACTATACATTTCTTCTCATACACATTCTGTGTCACTGCCCAACAGTGAAACCTTCTACCCTGCTCTCCAGATCTAGACCATGCACTGAGAAATGTAATTTTCGAACAGTCGTGAAAATACATATGTGAGGTCAGTACAGTAACGGGATCAATCTTATTTCTTTATAGTGTCCCATCTATTGGCCAAACATGTATAGGACACAGATTTCTTATGGCAAAACACCACAAAATATAGTGGGGAAATTCAGTATAATCAGGTAATTAAAATGGTGCTGTGATGCCTATGAAGGTTTAGACAGTCTTAGAGAAGCAAAAACATGGAGATCTGTAAGGAACTAGTATTTGAGTTTTGTTGTTCTTCTTTGTTTCATTTCTCCAAGAGATTTAACCATGGTGAATTTAGCCATGAATATATTTTATTTGTAGTAATATATTTTATTTGTAGTAATTATTGTCATATAAAATCAGTGACTTTGGGGGCTGGAGAGATGGCTCAGCAGTTAAGAACACTGGCTGTTCTTGCAGAAGACCTGGATTCGAATCCCAGCACCCACATGGCATCTAACAACTGTCCATAACTCCAGTTCCAGCAGTCTCTTCTGTCCTCTCTGAGCATTGCACAACACAGGTGCACTTACCTACATGCAGGCAATACATTCCCTATTGGCAATTTGGATAACCCCTTCAGAGGATGGCGTGAAAAGAATAGGAGGTAGGAACTGGCTAGGCTAGTTAGGGTAAAAAGACCCCAAAGAAAAGTAGCCAGTTTCTTGGCTAAAAGTTCCATTGTCCTTGGGACTGTTAACAACATACTCTGTTCCAAAAGCCAAAAATGTCAGAAGTATTTGGGAACTTGTATCTAATTCTTAAAAGATTTTAGGGTTATCTCTTCAGAGGGAGGAATGTTAGAGTAGCCTGAAGCCCCATAAAAATAAATAAATGAAAGAAGAAAAAGAAAAAGAAAAAAGTGTTGAACAGCTATAGGAGGTGTTAGAAGGGAGGGGGTGGGCGTGGATTTGCTCAAAACACCTTATCAATGAAATTCTCAATAAAGTTTTTGTAAAAGTTAAAAGAATGGGAATTTAAAAATAAAAAGGAAAAAACTGCTATTTAAGAAACAATATAGGGGGCAGTTAAGAGCTCTTACTGCTCTTCCAGAGAACCCATAACAACCATGTTGAGTGGCTCACAGTTGCTTGTAATTCTAGCTCCTTGTAATTCTAGCTCTAAGCGATTTGACTCCCTCATCTAACCTTTACATGCACCTGCATACATAAAGCATACACACACACACACACACACACACACACATACACACATAAAAATAAAAATATAAATAATATGATCTTAGAGCGGAAAAATCCCTATCTCTAAGACAATACTAAATTAAGCTGAAGAGTAAAGCATGAGGAGACATGGTTTGTTCCAGTCTGTCTTAACCCAACCAAATAGGCCAAACAAAAAGTATACTCTCTAACAGATCAGAGATGGAGAGAGAAACATTCATATAAGTGTGAAGTGAGCCAGAGCAGACCAGTACAAATCTGACCTCCCTGTTCTCCCAGTCCCACCTCAGGGGTGACCAGTTGCCTGCCCAGGTGTCCTTCTCACGTGGATCATGTTTTGTTTTGGTCATAACCTCTCTAACTGTGGTAGACTCACATTGTGAGATTTTTGCTTTGTTCTTGTTGGGATAAAATACTTATATAACTTTTATGGGGCACAGTATGATAATTTGGAATTTGTATGCACTATATAATAACAAAAGGATAATAAACGGTTCTATCTTCAAGTGAAAAATAAAATATTTTTTAAAAAATCTGTGACTTTGGTTGAGACTTCTATAAAAAGACATATTAGTGTAATAAAAGCATACACATTTATTTAAGTTTGCATCACAAGGTTGTCTTCAGAATTGAAGACCCAAAGAAACAGGGATAACTGGTTTTTAAAAAATATTTTATTTATCTTTTTTTTTTTTAATGTGTATGAGTGTATTGCCTGCATGTATGTGAGTGCACCCATGTCATGCAATGCCACGGAGAGATCAAAAGAGGGCTTCAGATTTCCCTGGAACTGGAGTTAAGGACAGTTCCTATTTTACGTGTATGAGTGTATTGTCTGCATACATGGAAGTACATCCATGTCATGCAGTATCCTCGGAGGTCAGAAGAGTGTCAAATTCCACGGAACTTGAGTTATGGATAGTTGTTAGCCGCCATGTGAGTGCTGGGAATCAAACCTGGGTCCCCTGCAAGAGCAGTCAGTGCTCTTAACCACTGAGCCATCTCTTCAGCCCCCTGAAAACTGTTTTTATGGCTGTCGGTGTACAGATCTGAGTGGAGGACCGAAGGGCATTATGCAATAGTGGTAGATGAAGGGAACTCCAGCAAGGCCTGTTCGCTCAGATTCTTCTCTACATCCCTATCTTCGGAGGTAAAGATATAAATGAATGTTTTATGACCTGTCTCAGTGGAGAGCACAGGAGAAAGGTCATAGAATCATCCTGCCTCTGTACTGTTTCAATTTCCTTTAACTCCAAGTATTCAGTATTCCAAGGTACTGTGTTTTGCAAGGACTGGTCTGAACTACTTCACAAGAGAAAATAACTATAATGGCAGGAACAGAGTCAGAGAAAGTTTATTGAACACTTAATGTCACCCACTTTGCTAGATGCTTTATGAGAATTTCTTTACTATAACTCACAGCTGCTTTGTGATTCCTATTGTGCTGAGGATATTGAACTTAATACTTCACCTGGCATCTCAACTCTATGAAGTCATTTTGTCATTTAGACCACTGAGTGCACAAACAGAAAGTGTGATATATTTAGAAGGCAGTGGAAACGATGTACCTTAAGATGAGTGAGCAATCTGGGAAATCAGCATAATATTTTACTCATTTACTTATGTCTTTATGTTTAGTAAGTGCCAAGTACTATTCTAGACACTGAACACAAAGCCAACCTGCCAGGAGCTTAACATCTGGTCTGAAGAGAAGGATGAAAGAAGGAAAGCATGTAATGTTTCAGACAGCGCTATGTGCTTGGAGAAAAGTGGATCAGAGTGGCATAGAGGGTTAGGAATGCAAGATAAAATTTGTGAATGTGCCAGTTGGATACCGTTGTGTAGTATTTCTAAAATAGAAGGGGTAAATATGAATTCTTAAACTTGTTACAGTCTCACAGAAAGCAAGAAACACTTTGTTTTGTTTTTCATTTATGCTCATCAATATATGTTCTAAATATATATACATATATAATACATGATAATTTAGTGGACCTTTTATTTATTTGAGTATCACTTTTATTCTTGCTGCGTGATGGGTTAGAAATGTTCTTCATCACAATATAATAGAACAGAGAAAAAACAAGAGTCTGAACTATCCAACCTCTGAAGATGAAAAAGACCCCCAAGGCACCTCATGGTTCAGGCCTGACTTACGGGGTTGCTTAGTTTAAATGACTAAACAAATCATAAAATCAATATTTAATCTCCAGCTCAAAGCCTTTTTTTTCAAGGACCCCAAGATGTTTCCTCCTGAATATGCTGCAGATTGCTTTTGAAAATGCATTTATTTAAGCGATCTTTTCCTTATCACGATACAATGACTTTCATGGACTTAGAATATAAAGTTCATTTTTAACAATAAATGAATGATGTTATAATTAATAGATTGACAGATGTGCATTTTCCCCCAATCTCTTTTCCAATTGTTTTGATTTTCAATTCATACTCTGGTGTAAGTAAGGTGTCAGTTACCTGCTTATATGAGAGCAGGTAAAGCAATTCTCATTGCCTATTTAAATAGTGCCTAATAGTGTCTGTTGCTTTTTAAAAATTTTGCTCATCTACACAATAAGCCACTTACTCCTACTCTTTATTTTCCATAAAGCATATTCCGCTGTTTGCTTAAATTCCATTGATCAGGAAGCTGTCTGTGGATGCCTAAAAATCCTTTAACAGTGCTCACATTGGGTCATGATCGTGCAGTATAAGCTACATGATTTGTGTACTACTTCTTATTGCAGTCATAATTAAAAGGTTATTGATGAGCTGGACAGATGGCTCACAGGTTAAGAGCACTTGCTACTCTTTCAGAGTACATGGGTTTGACTCCTTCTAGCGTCTAACAACCACTTGTAAACCCAATTTCACAGAATCTGATGCCCTCTCCTGGCCTCTGCTAGCACAGCACTCATGTGCACATTTCCACACATACACATAATTAAAAATATTTTAAGAAAAGATTATTCATTATCTCTGGGATACAATTTAAAAATATATAATACTGGAACATTTTCTCAATATGTTCCATGATGAATTTATTTTTTTTCTATTCTATAAAAGCATATTGTTCTACATAATTTACTTTGAAATGAAATGACCTTTTATATTGTTTTAAATATAAAGAACTACAGTGATCATATTATAAAATAATGAAAGAGGTCTAGATTATTTAGAATATATTAGTTTTAGATTCAAGCATTGTCTGCCTCAGCAACATTCAGTATGTTGTCATTTACTGAAGTGCATATTTGGAGAACTG